ACAGGTAGGTTTAGTTCTAGTTCTAGTTTTCATTGTTTAATTCGTTATTAGTAAATTTAATTTCATTCTTAATAAATAGTTGTATATTGGTCGTTTAATTTAGTTTTAGCTTCATTTATACGTAGTTAATTACATAATAGATTAGTTTGCTTTTTACATAATAGATAAAATTTCAATTAGCTTTTTAACTTTTTTTTTCATTCTACCCACATTTGTTGTTATATTTTTTGTAATTATCATAGTTGTAATTTGACCACAAATTCAGTACATTTTGGTAGACTGACCATCTATCATAAGTGGTCCCTGTTGTCTTCCCCCGTTTACAGTAGCACTGGCGTTTGCATACTGCGGGTTCCAGTCCAGTTGTTCGGTAAGTAGTTGTTGTATAGTTGATTAATATTACCTCAATAGTTTTACATAGTTATTTAGAAGTTTAGATTTAATTAACAGTTGGTGGAGTTCAGTGCCGGTTGGGGAGACTTGAGTGGTGTGATCCCGAAGTCTGTGGACCCCTGGGCGGTGGACCTCTCGGCTTATTGATCTCAAAATTATTTTGACATCTTTGAATCGGGGGCCCCCTGCCTGGAGGACCATCGGGCTGAGGTATCGGACCCCGGGTCCCCTTCCGTGCTTCTGTCCGTACTGCGCTGTTAATATTCATAATTTATTTGTTTCATTGACATATTCAAATTAATTTTTAATTTAATATTCTTATTCTCCTTCCTTTTAAATTTATAATTTTGAAATTACTACATTAATTATTCTAGTGTTCATAGGTTATAGTTACTCCTTATAGTTAGTTACTTATTATTACAGATTAGATAGTTACATATATAGTTATCAGTTATCAGTGTACACCGCGGGTGGGGAGCCTGCAGCGGCAGACGTTATTGTGTAGTAGTATTGTAGTAGCATTTTAGCATTCTTTTTTCATTTTCACCTTTATATTATTTTTATTTTTATTTTTATTTACCTTCATTCGTTAAATTATTGTTGACCTTAATTAATTTTAAATGTTTAATTCGAGATTGAGTTAGAATAGTTGCTTTGTTTATTTGTTATCAGAATTGCTTATTAGTAGATTAATAAATTAAAATTCGTAGTTATTAGCAGTTGGTGTATTCACCACTGAATAATAATAGTAGTTATCAAATCAGTTATAGTTACTTTTATAAATTAGTTGTCCTGTTTATTTTATTTTATTTTATTTTACTACATTGGGTGGGAGGCGATAGGGCCTCTGACATTTGACATAGGTCATTATAAATTAGAGTCTCTGACCTCCCAGTGAGGGTACTAATGTCCGCATACTGGCTAAGATAGCCAAATCATGTCTGGTGGGGCTTCTCCCCCCATCATCAGCACACCCGGCCCGTCCCGACAGGGACGTCGGGCAATGGACGAATTATTCGCCCGTCGCCCCATTCCACAAACTCGACCGGTCCCGATGGACCCCGGTAAGGACAATTCGGCCAGGCCTCCGGTCTCGGCCCGGGTGTCCCCGGGGATCGGTCCGGGGGAAGGTTTCGTTCCCCTGTCGACCGATTGCCCTGGGCCACCTCGGCCGAGGAAGAAGGCCAGGTCCGAGTCTGACCGTGGTTCATCTGAGGACCATGATAAGCGACCCAGATTAGGACCTTCCTCTAAGTCAGAGGGAGAGGATAGCGAGGCCACGTCCTCCCCCCCCTCCTCCTCCAACACTACTACTCCATCCTCATCCAGATCTTCATCCCCTACTGGGAGTCCCATCCCATTAGCTAAACCCGTTCCCAAGCCGAGGGCCCCCGCCAGGACAGGGGTAGCCCCACGCCCACTCAGATCCCCCCCTCGATCCCCTTCCCCTACCATATCCCCTATCCCGGTGGATCCAACTCGTGGTGCCCCCGCCCTAAGCGGCACGGCGGGTAACCTGGATTCCACCAGGTATATGGACCTCGAGTCCACCAAAGCCCAACAGTTTTTCGGTAAGTAGTTGTTGTATAGTTGATTAATATTACCTCAATAGTTTTACATATTATTTAGAAGATTTTAGATT